CGTGGTTCGCATCTGAGTGAGCTTGGAGATCAGAAAAACTTTTGGTGAAGAGAAACATATGGCGAGAGTTCAGCATGTCTGTGGTGTGTTGAGACCCGCCCACAGTGGGTGGAGCGTGTTCTCAAGCACGGGGTCCCTACTTTCACTGCGTTTTAGTGCATAGGCCGCCACACTCTTGAACACCTGTTGTCACACGTACATTTGATACCAGTTGGTTAGCTGGCTGACGCCGGCGCGACTCCTTTTCTATTAGGTTGTTTGAAAAGTAATGCGACACTTTGATTGAATTGTTCTAGAAAAAGACCAAAAATCATTTTGGATGTTTTTATCCCTGATTAGTGAAGACTGTCCTCTGGGGTTTCTGCACATGGGTATATCATGACTTTGTGGAAGTTTTCAAAGCTTAAAAGTCCCTCAGGTCGAGGTACTTTCCGACCTATCCCATATTATGAGTTCCTGTAGGGCACTCCGCCGTAGTCGAGGAAGCTAACACTTACGTTGTCTTGAGGAAGGATATCGCTTGCCATGGCAGAGGGTAGCTTTTGCATCAGCGCTTCCAGGCTGGACTTATTTAACTCGTAGTTAGGCAATGTATAGGTCGCCCACCAGCACAGAATGACGGCCCTTTACTCAAGCTTCTTGAGGCGCAGCCGAAGGTAACCACCAGTAAGTTGGCAACCTCTCTAGGCTCCACCTGACTGACAACTGCCATGCTTCTCCGCAATCTCGGTTATCGGAAAAATTTTTTGTGAAGGATGCCTCAACCCGTCTGACAAGTCATACCGAATGACCGTGACTGAGTTTTCTTTTCCTTGTACACAGCGAAAGAACTTTTGTGAGATCTTGTGTGGTTGGTAGCGAGTGTTGGAGTCCTTGCGTACATCATGCACATGTCCCTCGCAGGATCTCTCAAACAGAAAAGTAGATTGCTTAGCCAAAAACAGATGTGCATGGGATAAAGATTTCAGTGTGTTATTGGTGGGACTTCAAAGCGGTATCACTGGATACTAGCACCGTTGTAAGGACCACAGTCCACCTTAATCGACTTCAAAATATGGATGACGTCACGCTTGAATTCATTCAGAAATACTCAATTTTTCTCTACTACTCGGCAATGCGAGGACCGCATGTGGGGATCAGGCTACGCCAAAAGATCATGGATTTCGATCAGAGAATGCGACCGTACCCAGCTTATTAAACAAAGTTAGCAGCCTCTAATTACCACCTCCTTTGGTCCCTATCGCATCCTTTAAAAGCAAAAATTCCGAAAATCGACGTCTACTCGAAAATGAGGTCCACCTCTTCTTTTTATCATAGTTGCCGTAGTTCTATGAGAATGGAAATGAGAAGCTGTGCAAAAGAAGGGCACTAGTCCTAGTCATCAACTGCGGTTACCTTGTAGATTGGAGATGTCTTTTAGTGACAGAAAATTTAGTCCGAAAAATTTGGTCAAAGTGTCGCATTACTTTTCGAACAACCTAATAATAGGGCCAGGCTTTGCCGGTTTTGCTTACTTCGTCGCGCCCACCTGCTTGCATATGTTTGAATGCTCAACTAATACCCGGTTTCTCTCTCATCTGCGCATTTGATCAACGCTTACCACCATTCATAGACGGTAATAGTGTCGAAAATAGTAGGTATGATGTTATTGCTCAAGGAGCGTTGACTGTGTACAGGTGAAATAAAAGCCGGATAATTGTTGAGTATCCAGTGTAGAAGGAGGTAAGCGCGGCGAAGCCGCGCCCGCCCGGCGAAGCCGGGCCGTATCACGGAAGGAGGCGCGCCGGCGTCAGCCGGCGAGCCGACTGGTACATATATACCATTTTCACTTTAAATTCACCCTTTTTCAAACCAAATTCACCCTTTTTCAAACCAAATTCACCCTCACTTTTCACATCAAATTAACCACACTTATTAGGGCGGGCAACTCATCAACCAGATCACGCCAGACATCACTGCGAGCCCCGCCCCGACGGCCACGCCCACTTGTCAGCGCGGACATAGATTCTCAAATCTTGTTTCATAACTTCTGCTTTTGCTGTTTCCCACAAACACTTTGACTGGAAACGACCGGGCATTGACACATGGCCGACTCCGCCCATTCTCTAAAGGGTTTGGCAATCTAGGCTGACCACGCCCACTTGCTTTTCGCGGACTTTCGATATTTTTTCAAAATTTTTGCATTTTAGGGCTGCTGCGTGAAGCCCCGCCCACTGTGAGATGCTCCGCCCACTTTGAATAAGCCCCGCCCACTTTTCAAAAATGGTGCAAATCGGCAGTATAGAGACTTGGCTTGCATGTTAGGGTCTCGTTCGTCACTCGGAACAAGAAAATCCGGCAAAGTTTATTCCGAATGATCAGCACCCTAGCATGCAAGCCAAGACTCTATACTGCCGATTTGCACCATTTTTGAAAAGTGGGCGGGGCTTCTTCAAAGTGGGCGGAGCTCTCACAGTGGGCGGGGCTTCACGTAGCAGTCCAAAAATGCAAAAATTTGAAAATATCAAAATTCCGCAGAAACAAGTGGGCGTGGCTAAGGGAGCTGAGCTAGATTTTCAAATCCTCTAGAGAATGGGTGGAGTCGGCTGTGTGTTGATGTGCAGTCGTTTTCAGTCAGAGTGAGAAACGAGGAAAGACAAGAAAAGTAACAGAAGCAGAAGTTATGAAACAAGATTTGAAATGGTGGATTTGGGTTACAAGTGATATATATACACGGGTGGCCAAGAAAAAAATCGATTCAGTGGCATCAGGACTTTCATTCCCGTTTAAAATATAGGTGGGAAATTGCCGAATTAATGTGATCTAGTTGTAGGCGTTTTTGTGAAATACTTCAGGTACTATATCCTTTGCTTATTTCTCGGTAATTATAGTAAAACCAAAACCCTAGTTTGACCCGATGAGCGGGAAAGTTCCGTGGTACGCAGAGGGTTAAATCAGTGCCATTTCTGCATTTCACTTTCGCCTCAATTTCCAATCTTTCAGTATGTGCACGTGAAGCAGGGTCAAATAGCACGTCTCCCATGCGCAGGGCTACCCGACGTTGTTCCTGGGCCTGCTGAGATATGCTTTATAAAAAGCGGTTCAGAATCTGATGGATGTCTCAGCGACAAAGGTAAGTTCTTACGGATACGTCACTTTTGCCGCTATGAACTATAAGCCTATATCCATTACCTTTTCAGTCGACTCGAATTACTTGTCAACGGCTACTGGAATGCAGATTTCTTTAGTGCAACCGCATCATGCAGGTGAATACTACTGTGTGGTACGCAATGAATACACAAAACAGTCGCGCAAAAGTCCACGCTACGTGAAGTTACGGGTGAGTTTGCCCTTCGAGTGCATGGAGTAGCGCAGACAACACTAATCGTCTGCAGGTTGATATAGCAGAAAACAGCACACCGTCTGGTCAGCTCGATCTGCCGCAGCTGGTGTATCCTAGTAGAGAGAATCGTCCTGATAGTCCTATAACGGTGGACGTAGTTGCCGGTCAAGACATCATCTTAGAATGCGTGTTCGTGGATGCTAGGGTGGTGTGGATAAAGGTGATGCAGCTGTTTTCCATGGCTATAACGCCGTCGCAGCGATTATTGTGACTCCTGTTCTTAAGCATGGAGACTTCACCCCACAAATATCGTCAATTGATGATGATGCGAGACTTCGGCAAATATGGGGCAATCTGCAGATTCGTCAGTCCACTCAAGGTTTGTTGGCTCCTTGTGTCAAATCTTCGAATTCTTTATGATTCCTTTATTGTTTTTGCCACTTACTATATCAAAAGGTCATTCTTTCAAATGCAGAAGATTCCGGCATGTACTCGTGTCATGGCATGTCACCTTTTGATGGGTCATTGCTGCAGCACGATGATCATCCAAAGGTGTACTATTCACTGTTCGTTCACTCGCCAACCGATGTTCACCTAGAGATGAATCAAAACATCCGCGATAAAAGTTGGCAAGTGAGTGTTCTCTCGACGACACTGTTTCAAAGGTCCATTCACTTTTTTACTTTTCCAATAGGTGCATCACTAATAGCTGACTATGATATTGTTATTAAGTAATTAAAATGTTTTAGACCTTTCTTTTACCGAGGTTCTTAGCGGTGGGCTGATCCCTCCTGCTTATCTCACTACCTCTTTCCATCAGTCCGTCATATCGTAAACTCATGTTATTGCGCAAGCGGTCAAACTATTATTCCCAGTTTGTGAACTGTTTTTCAGTTGTCTTGTTTGGCGAAGAACGTGCGATATGAAATCCCAATGGTTCATGTTGATGGTACCGCTTTGATTGATGCAATCAGTCACATAGGAACGGCTTCATCAACAAATTTCTTTAGCAATCCAGTCAATGCTACTATTCTCATTAAGAGCAACTACAGTGGAAGTGTACAGGTAGGACCGCTTTCATACTCCGCGACCGTGGACAATCAAAGAATGTGCACAAAGTGAATAAGAGCATCGATCGGGTTAGCCGAAGAATGAGCGCTCAAGTATTGAATTGGATCCTATACTGTCGATCGACTCCGATTTTCCAATTCCTCAAACCCGCTTGTGTACGGCGTCGACCAATTTCCATCTAATTTTCGAACACTTTCTTCTTTCTCCCATTCTGCGGTTCTTCAATATCACGAATTGTGAAGGCGGCCCAGTGGGCTTCGTTTTGATCATGAGCTCCCTTTGTCCGCCTTTACTGTTTGTGACTCAGACCATCTTTATCTCTAACAAATTTTCAACCAGGTGGACAGGAGACGTGAAGAATCTGAAAACGCGCGCCAAAGGAAGCTGTGACTGTCGATTCAGCGAACTGAGAGAATACGAGGCTAGAATCATAGGAGAGTGTCCGCTAAAGAGATAGGTATGACTCGACCCACTCCGGTCGTTAGCGTTCTAGGACAAAGGAGAATGCGCGCTAAAGAAGTGCAGAGGTATCAATTCGATGAACTGGCAGAATGGAAGAATTGAACATGCATTCTCCTATTCCCATTCTTTATTCAACCGAAACGTGTTCCTTCTAACGTTATCACCATTTACCATTTATTAGACGTGCAATAGCACATAGAACATAAAACAGGACAAACAAAATGTTAAAAAACAACACAAAAACAAAAACCAGCTCAGATAAAAACCGATTATATTGCTTCTACGCTCACATATGCAGACAGTAACTACAGTTCTCATCATTGCGGACCGGTGGGGCGTGTCAGCCAGAAGGAGTGCGCACACTGTTGAAGCCGTTCTCAGCCTTTTTTGTTGCAACGCGTATGCGACAAAAAGTGGTAGAAAACGAGTAATACGAAGGATATAATACAGTAATGCACTTGCCCGCTTCAAAAACTGGTGCAGAACGACTTTGCCAAACCGCACCAAACGCAGCCGCACTGCCACGCCCCACCGGTCCGCAATGATGAGGACTGTACAACACTTCCAATGAAATCACCGACCCGCCTCTTGAAAGTAGCATATTTCAAAGGGAACACATTCGAACGTAAGAGCGAATTGAAGTTGGTACAAATTCTATTACTAAAAAACCTTGACCTGTACTGAGTCCTAGCAAACGTGGCACTAAGTCTGATACTCACTCCTCTTGTATTAGTAGACAGTACTTGGAAAAACTGTTCAACGTCCAATTTCACTAAGCCATTTAATATTTTGTAAGCCATCAGTAAATCATATCTCTTCCTCCTCCACTCGAGAGATTTAAGCCCGTACGTCGTATTCCTAACAGAACCTCTAGGTATATCTAAGTAGTTTAAGCCCGTACATCTAAGCATTAGTTTACGAGTAAAGTTGTTCTGAACAGATTCCAGCGCTTGAATATCTTTTTTGGTGTAGGGGTTAAATACCGTTGTACCACATTCCAGGATAGGGCGAACGTAAAGCTTATAGGAACGTAACAAAATGCCTGGATCCTTTGTCCGTAGGGCTTTGAGTACCACAGGGAGGGGTCCTCTCCAGTATTATTCAACATTTTCACTGCTGATCTTCCTCATCTGCTTCAAGGTCTTGGAGTTACCTGTAACATCTATGCCGATGATATCAAAATTTACAAGGTTGTTACGGACTCAGAATGTGACCCGTCACTTCAGCTCGCAATAGACAGGATTGTAAATTGGGCTGACAGCAATGGCCTTCTCTTGTCATCGGAAAAAACACAAGTCATGCGTTTGGGGGCTCACACTCGCGAACCACAGTATTCTGCCGATAAAGCTGCATTGAAGACGGTGGCGGAAGTTAGGGATCTCGGATTCCACTATGACAGTAAACTAAGTTTCAGAAAGCACTTTAAAATATTGGTGGTTAAAGGTATGCGCAGAACGTTCAACTTATTCAAAGCCCTACGGACAAAGGATCCAGGCATTTTGTTACGTTCCTATAAGCTTTACGTTCGCCCTATCCTGGAATGTGGTACAACGGTATTTAACCCCTACACCAAAAAAGATATTCAAGCGCTGGAATCTGTTCAGAATAACTTTACTCGTAAACTAATATTGCCATTGCTTTTCTTCACCTATTGGCGCTGCCCAATTCGAGTGGTCCAGGGCTGTGAGTACGCCTTCTTGGATTAGGCGATCCATTTCGGCACTGACGGCTGGTTGGCTTGTGACGTACACTGGTTGTGCCTCTGGTCTCAGGGCCAACTTAGCTTTCGTCTTAGTACAGCGTCCAAGACCTGGAGCGAAGACGTTAGGGAACTGTGTTCTCAGGTGAGTAACAAGTTCGTTGCGATGGTTATCGAGTGCTGCAGTCGCTTGTCGACAGTTGTACTGTTCTTTGAGCTGACGATAATCTGGCATTTGGATACACCATTCGAGTCCCAGGAGATCGGTAGCTTCTGTGACGTAACAATTTCCTCTTCCAGAGATAGGTCTCTGATGTCGATCGAAAATTGAAAAGTCGGCTTCGAAGCATCCTAAGATCTTCATCGGTGAACCATCAGCTGTCTTCACTGTTGAGATGCCTGGGCGAAGAGGTGGGGATCCAATTTTGGTCCATGTTTTGCGAGATATCATTGTTATGTCTGCTCCAGTGTCGAGCTGTAGATGGGTGAGCTGGCCATTGATGCGCACTTTCATGTAGGTTCTTGCATCCCTGGTCATAACGTCCACGTTCTTGCACCAGAGCTTGCGCTTGAGACAGGACTCTAGTTCTTCTTGTCTCCAGTTGTGTGCGGATTTCTCCACCGGTTTAAATGACGCCTTATCACTTCATCAACATCCGTTACCAACAACGGAGGAAGTCTTTACCAAGCTCAACGGTGGACAGCTTTTCTCACAGATCGATCTGGCAGATGCATACCTACAAATCGAAGTGGACGATGACTCAAAGGAACTACTCACGATCAACACACATCGTGGTCTTTTCCGCTATAATCGCCTACCGTTTGGAGTGAAATCAGCTCCAGGTATATTCCAACAGATTATCGATTCCATGATAGCAGGATTGCACGGCGTCGCAGCTTATCTGGACGACATAATCGTTACCGGACGCACTACTATGGAGCATCGCCAAAACCTGGAAGCACTTCTCCAACGAATAGAGCTATACGGATTCCGAGTTCGAGAAGAAAAATGCCATTTCATGATGTCAGAGATCAAGTATCTTGGAAACATCATCGATGCCAATGGTCGACGTCCAGATCCCGAAAAGATTCGCGCTATCACAGAAATGCCAGAGCCGAAGGATATCGCACAACTTCGTTCGTTTCTCGGAATGCTGAACTACTACGGAACATTCATTCCTGAAATATGCCAACTTCGCGCTCCCTCTCGACGCATTACTAAAGAAAAACAGTCTAAATGGTCGAACGAATGTCATAACGCTTTTGGGAAAGCCAAAGAAATTCTGGTCTCACCACTCCTGCTCACACATTATGACCCACAATTGGATCTCATTGTTGCAGCAGACGCTTCTGACTATGGCATTGGAGCCGTAATCCTGCACCGATTCGCAGATGGATCAGAGAAGGCAATCAGCCACGCCAGTCGAACTCTCACAGAAGCAGAGAAGAAATATGGTCAAATCGAGAAGGAAGGGCTTGCATTAGTCTATGCAGTCCGCAAATTTCATCGATATCTACTGGGACGCCAGTTCACTCTCCTCACAGACCATAAACCGCTTGTCACTATATTTGGAAGCAAGAAAGGCTTGCCAGCATACACAGCAAATCGACTACTGCGCTGGTCACTGATACTTCAAGATTGAATACAGGAAAGACACCGATTTTGGACAAGCCGATGCATTGTCACGACTGATTGCCGACCAGAAGGAGCAAACCGAAGATATCATCATTGCAAACGCCTCAAATGATGCTGAATTCGAATGCAAGGCTGTGAAAGCACAGATTCCTGGGGACATGAATCAGATCGTAGAAGGAAGTCTCGCAGACAATACGCGCCCAACGATCGACCAGCGGCACTTACGAGTCCAAACTGCGTTCTCGCGAACTTTGACCGCCCAGAACTCGCCTGGGAGGTCCCCGTAGCACTTTTAATCTGCATATTCGTAATCAGCATTCGAGGCTCTATCGATGTACCTAGGTCTCCATTCAAAGTTCCATGGGAAGTTCAAACCATTCCCTTGTAAGACCATTTATGCGATCTTGGTAAAAAGTGTTGATCGAGTGCACCGACGCAACATATGCCAGCCACTTACCATGTATTCCAACACAATGAAAAAAAGAGATAGAGATGGGCGGCAGAGCCGTGCCCTCTCGATCAAGTCAGGTCACAGAAAGAGGAATGACGTGACGAATAGACAACTCATTCCTATCTGCTGGAGCTCTCTGGTACTGAGTTACAGGTTCTATACTGTCCCGACCACATCGGGGCACGCCCATCCCTCTACGATCGTGTTTCCGTCACTCATCTCCCCTTTGCTCACTTTCGTTCACTTTTTCCCAGGCTGTTATGGGACAACTTTTTTCTCAGGCTGTTATGGGACAGAAACACGAATCTTTGATCTCCTCCTTCCATCCCGGCGCGTTTAAAAAACGAAACCCTCACTACCGGTAAGCATTGCCAGATCCTCGACGGCAAAGTTGACGACTGGATAACTACAAGAAAGGGCTAGATAGACGTAGGTACAAAGCGTTCTTCTTCACACCCCGTACCTTCACAATTAGGGTGCGTGACATCCTCAATAATATGAAAGCAACTAAACTAAGCGTAAGAACGTCATGCTTAGTGGTGAAAGGGCCTCATCTAAAGGTAGTTTATAATTTGGTTCTCTCTCTAAAATGGTAGCAGGGTGCTAAATAGTGGGGAAGTGGCAAAAAAGCGAAGTGGAATGGTCAAAAACCTGCAAAAAACATTTGTTCCACACAACTCAGGAAGCAGTTTTGGAGGAGTTTCCCATTGCAAATACCCGCTACGGTGGATACAGGTACGTGAATGTACTCATATATCTATTCAGGTCGCAGCCGCTCCATATCAATCCCTTCGCCCCTATTGTACATCGCAAATGAAGCGACACGAGCATCAGCATCGGTCGTCCATTTGTGGGCGGGCGGGCGCGGTGGGCGTTCGGGTCGGTATGTTGCAGCTTGATAGGGCGCTATAAGGGTACCTTTCTTGGAAAAGGCGCTACGCGTCTTGCTCAGGGGTGCCGAATTCAGTCCTACTAGGCGTATTAGTGCCACACGTCTTGGAGATTTAGCATGCCAACTGCTTTTAGTAAGAGGTTGTAGACCGTTGAAGTAGCCTTAATTCGGTAGAGAGTTTTCTGATTCTCGGGAGATATTTTTAAGAGTGACTATAGCACAAGTGGTGAAGCTTGATTATAGATGCAGCGTCGAGATATTGGATATAAAAAGAGAGATCTACGTTTGGACAAGTCAGCAGACTGCCCAATGGACAGTTTAAATTATTGATGAATGAAGGCAATGATGAAATACCTGCTTCAAATTCACACATTTGTCTGTAGGGAGGGACCAAAACAAAAACCAAAAAGCGTAATGAAATAACAATTAAGGCCGTCATTGGACCGCTTCCATAGCTTTGTCACTGAGGAATACGAGGATCGGAAAATAGTAGTCCTCCATTTGACTAATCAACGCTGCTCACATTTCCTGTTTCTCATAATTTTTTTTATCGTGTATTAGGTTGTCGCATAAGTTCTTATACACGTGTTTGATCCTCTCCTATTTCGTTCGCATGGATGTTGGTATTACGTCATCACGTGTGCGTGACGTGTACATTATACTCTTTCATTACACTAGCTATCACTCACCGAGCTTGCATTTGCAGTACACAATGTCGCACAATTTGCACTGTGACAAAACGTACCTGCGCCACTGTTTGGTTTTGCTCCACGATTTCGGCTGGAATGCAAAGGAAGCCCATACCAAGCTGGTGGATACATACGGTGAGGACGTCATCTCTTACATGACATGCAAGAATTGGTTCGCCAAATTCAAGAAAGGAGACTTTTCTCTCGAAGATGCTCCGAGGTCGGGTCGGCCGATGGAGTTGGATTTGGAAGTACTACGTTCCACCGTGGAGGAGGACCCGTACCTCACCACCAGAGAAATGGCCATGCTTAGCTATGATCATTCGACGGTTGCACGTGGACTAGAAAAGCTCGGCAAGGTAGCAAAGCTTGGTCGATGGGTCCCACATGAACTGTCCGCTTATGACCTCTCGAGGAGGTGACCACCTGCACTTCTCTCCTCACTTTCCAAAAGAGGCTTCACTTTCTCAACTCGATGATCACTGGAGATGAGAAGTGGGTCCTCTACGATAACCCTGTGAGGAAGCGGCAGTGGGTCGACAAAGGAGAACAGCCAGCCACCCCAAAGGCCGACCTTCACCCCAAAAAGGTTCTCCTGTCCTGTTGGTGGTCCAGAAGAGGCATGGAGTACTGGGAGCTGCTGGAGAAGAATTGACGCTTCCACATACGTGACCCAGCTGCGGAAATTGAAAGATCACGTCGACCGTACTCGTGGAAGGAATGCGGAAATCTACTTCCACCATGACAACGCCCGACCTCACACTGCAAAGGCGACCCAGGCCGAGCTGGAGAAGTACGGATGGCTGATGGTCGCCCACCCTCCCCCTCCCCCCTACAGCCCTGACCTCGCTCCTTCTGACTACTGGCTGTTCAGCCACCTGCAGCGCTCTCTGGACGGAAAAAGTTCGAAACAAAGGATCAGGTCAGAAAGGCGCTCGACGACTTCTTCAAGTCCCAGCCTCCGTCGTTCTGGAAGGATGGAATCGACAAGCTGCCTGAGCGCTGGCGTCGAGTAGTGAATGGTGATGGTGCATACCTCTAATCTCCAGGCTGGTTCGTTTTTGAGATATTTACAAAAAAGTCGTGTATAAGAACTTATGCGACAACCTTATATTAGACTTTCACCGAAGCCTATTCTTCTTCTTTTGATGCCGTTCCTGCGCTTCTGTTTACAGTTCGGTGGTCCTACCTTACTGTTCATGACCACAATTGCTGAAAATGTTTTTCTAATCAACTCTTTCTAAATAATAATTGGTTCCAACTCGAAACATTCTATTTAGCGCGGCGATCGCAAAGCCGCGGGCCAGTACACGAATTTTCAAATCAATTTCACTACCTTTCAGATCAGACTCGTCATACTCGTTAAGCCGGACAATTAATTTAGCAGATCACGCTAGACACTGCTGCAGGCCCCAACAGCCTCGCCCTCCTTCAGCGCGGTCATGATTTTCCAAAATTTTCTGCGACACTTGCCTCTGATTTTTTAGCACTTGTGCTGTTCCGTATGTACAGATTATTTGAAAAATTGGTCATTCTTTCTATATCCAGTGTGACACAGCGAATGGCCCCATGGACACGCTGAGCTCTGCCTTTTTTGCTTGCCCTACTACTACGGTCTTTGCTGAATCTTGATCTTTCGAAGTTTCCGGCTTTTGGGGCCGTAGCAGGCAGCTCCGCCCCTGCAAGAAACACTGCTCATCATGCGAAAGCCCCATCGCCAAGGCCAAATTTTCAGTTAGCGCATCAGGTCAGACTCTCACCCGCAGCTCTGAGTGAAAACCAGGCGAGGTTTGTTTTGAGTAATGAGCGAGACTCTGTCTTGCTGATTCAGACCCAAGCCTATCACTTCGGGGCATGGGCGGTGCTTCGCGCGGTGGGCGGAACTGCCTATTGCAGCTTAAAAAGCCGAAAATTTGAAAGGGATATCAAAACTTGGCGAATAAACGCAGAAGTGGGTCTAGTCAAAAGGAATCCGCTTAGCATGTCGGTGTATAAATGCTCTTTTGTGAAAAGAACGATGCAAGAAAAAAAGTTTCGACTAATCGAAACTTACAACAAATTCATTAGGAAGAAGGGGAGTCGCCTGTTCGTCGGTAAATCAATTCTTTGTAGTGCATACGTGTGTGCAATTTAGCAGAAGCGCAAAAAAAGCACAGAAGGAGATGCCATAAAATAGTATTTGAGAGATCACGACCACTTTGAAGGTGGGCGGTGCTGTGGGGCCGGGCTTGCATTAGTGTCGAGTGAGATCTACTTAACCAGCTGTCCGATGTAATTAGCTTACTGTATTTAATTTGAAAGGCTGTGAATTTTCATTTCAAAGTCTTGATTTTAAAATGAAACTGGTTCATATCCGCTTGCTGACACGTAGTACTGTATGAGAAGATCTCGGATCAGTGAAAAGCGTTCCCTAGAAGGCGCTGAACTGTTCACCTTCGCGCCTCTCTTCCTGTGAAAGTGCACTGCACTGTTCATCACACCTACGAACCACTGCAATATGATAGGTGGGGAAAGCTGATACAGCATATCACAAGAATGCTGAGTTGTGGGCAAAAGTCGGACCACGGACGGGATTCGAATCCGCATCTGTGATCGCTTTCGAATCGCGTAAAATCCATCAAAAGAGAAACTGGAACCGCTTCACAGTATCATGTTGTTGGCAAGATGATGAAGACGAATTTGCGAAATAGTGGCGATATGAACTTCCCTGGATTCCTCATTAAGTAAAACCAGTTTAGAGAAATCATTCCGCATCATGAGCGAGCTCACCCGTCGATCGAAACAAACCTATTCTATCTTCGCTTTTTTTCAGAGTCTACCTTATACATTTATTTCTTTTCCTCTTCTTATTTTTGTTGATATGGCAAGAGTATGAAAGACGTACAGAACTGGAGTGGTGGTAGGCAAGAAGGCGCTCACTCGATGACACCGATCTAGAGTCCTGTTATGACACTTTCCAGTGCATATCACGTCCAGCCATGGATGAAGCCGAAATTTATGGTCCGGGCTTGGAACGTGGTCGGTCACACAACCTTTATGTGGTCAGCAGTCCAAGCAAAGATCACCTCATCAAACAAGGTCCAGTCAATGTCACAGCAACCATCGGAGATGATGTTGAATTAATATGTCTTGTATTTCAACGTGTCAGCTCGAAATACTGGTTGAAAGGTGAGATTCTTTTCTTCTTCTTCTTCTGAACCCTTCACTCAGCTATTCGGTTCAGATGGTTCATTCGTACCTTTCGGTGCGGCTAGAACGCAACGAGTTGGTTCAAACAGTTTGAAAATATTTAAAGTGGAGAAAAAGGACGAAGGATGGTACACTTGTGTAGTTGTTGGTGAAGAATCGGAGAAAAGTGAACAACAAGCCTATCTTCGGGTAAATTTCCCCACAACGACGCTTCTGTTTGGCACTACAACAGAGTCCTACGTGGTGGAAAACGTGAGTACTTCGAGAATTTTTTCTATCTCTGCCTTTAGCACTGGTATCATGGCGGCCACTAGACTATTCATTACCTCTCCAAATAAGTTTTGAGAAAATTTTATGCGACACAGAGAAACAAAGCCCACGATTGGCAGTCGTTGGTAGTGAAGTTCGAATGAAACTGTGGATGGTCACTGACCCGATAACGAAAGAAACGGCGGGAAACGCAAAAGAAGGTCTTTAACCGGACCAACTCTCGAGACCTGCTCTTCCTTCCGGAAAATCGATGTGGCTGTCGCCTGTGTGCTTTTCCTAGCTAGCAATGGTTTCTTCCCACTCCCACCAACTATTGCTGAACAACACGAAAAAAAGCGAAGAAGTAGCATAAAAATACTTTTCGTAACGTGAAGTAGCTCTGGAAAGTTGTCGTGAAATACTGGGACTACACTGACCTAATAATGTATTGCACAAATAACATGCATCATCGGTGGACTGCAGCGGCGTCGAAACCTTGTGAAATGGGTTATTTTTCAATGCACATGCCTTTTTCCAAAAAGACAGTAAAGGAAAGAAAAATGATTTAGGCGCATATAAGGGACAGCGGAATACGATGGGGATCACAGATTGGTCTCACAGAGAGTGAGTAGTGCGCGTAAGGGCAGACACGGCCGCTAACACACTTTTTGCCGTGATGGGTGAGGCGACTTGGGGGGAGGTGGCGAAGGTGTTTCCCTTGCGCTTTCTCGCCCATTCACACAGAAACGCTCTTTCAACTCGAGTGAGGATGTACAGATTTGTGACATCATGGAGTGGCCGGTAGTGGGTGCCTTTCTCAAGCAAGGCATCTTCTTTTGTACCCTTCTCGAGTCATGTCTTTTATGGCATTCTTCTCGATTCATGTCTTTTATGGTATTCTTCTCGAGTCATGTTCTATGACATTCTTCTCGAGTACATGTGCTTGTTCTTCGAAGTTTCCTGTTGCCAGCCGTGTAATGTCCGCTCTATTCTACTTCCTAACAATTAGGAGCTTACGCAGGACCGGTGACCCTTTATCCTAGAGCCACCAAGACCATCTCGATCGAAGATCACACTCTTACGAAATAGCGTGATCTCATGGTGTTTTGGTACACCTGGCCCTACGGTATCCTGACAGTAACGATTTCACATTAGTCCGAAACATCACTCACCAGGGAAGTCAGCCATCTTACCATTGAACTTTGAAAGAAGACCTAGGTAGATCAATGAAGTCTGTGATGCTTTTTACATATATTGATGTCAAAACTGCTACCTGCTTTTCACTAGTGACTTGTGAGCAAGGTTTGTAATGGTACAGTACGGTGGAGAGTTGGTGGTGAGTTATGACATAAGCGAAGGATGGCGTAGGGCAAAACGAGTCGTGGTGGCTCAACGGTAAGGTCCTCGTTGAACGGGCACAGCATGATAGTTCCGCTCCCATGAAAGCCGAGGTTTTTGCTGCATTTTCGATTTATGATTTATACCTGATTTTTCCCCTTGCATACGAATCAACACCTGACCATCATTTGATTCACGTTCATTGTGATCTGTTCGTGCCCGGGTCCTGGTCCGTTTCATAAGGTTTTTTATAGGGTCGAAAAAGAACACATTCAGAAGTAATGGGGTGAAGTAGTGCCGACCGGAGTATTGTGAATTGTGACCTTGCAGCGTGTAACAATGCAAAGATCAAGAACTGGACCGGCGCCCTCGAGCAGTATTGCACCATGCTACCCACCTTCAGGTGCGGCTTCCTCAATGGTGTTGGTATCACGGAAGGGTGACCATGAGTCTACAGTGAGGTGATTCAATACGCATACATACCTGCTCTCTAGTTCTGCTGTTATGCCTAAGCAAACCACGCTTTCAATCCCAACACTGCTGGAGCAGCCTTCGTCGTCATCGCCGCAGCACTCCCAATCAGATTCAATAAAGAGATCCGACTCCAAGCTTTTTTCGGTTTCTGCTTCAACTCCACCGGCGACACGATCGCGCAGTATAGTAGCAATTGCGGCAATTTTCTCTCCTCCCGAGCTGCAGCACCGTTGTATTTCGGCAATCAGGATTCTGCCAGGACTGTTGAAATCACTGTTGCTGGAGAGAAGGATATGGATGGGCAGTGAATATAAAGCAGTGACACGGCGACATGTATCAGTTTGATCTGCCACTAGTTGTAGCTACTTAGCCAGGTAAAAATTATGAGGTGAAATGAAGCAAAAACTTCGGCTCACATGAACCGAACCATCATACTGTGCCTGCGGACGAGAATCTTACCCTTGAGCCACTTCAGCTCGTTTTGTACTTCGAGATTCTTCGATTATGCTTCATAACCCACCATCTACTGTACCAATGCAAACATGCACGACACATCGACAGCTGGGGGGGGGGCTGATAGTCTCATACACCCTTCAATGTGTTTGAGCGTACCATGTGTCTTTAATGGTGTAAAACCTGTAATAATTGAATAGCACTGATTCATGGAGTGTTCCCATTTAAAATGTGCCCATAAATGGCAGTTATCGAACGCATACTCACGCACAGACATATTTGAACGCGAAAACAGCAAAACATAAAAAATGCAAAAACTCGCACGCCGAGGGGAGTCGAACCATCAACCCCACCCCAACTGTCCGCTTGAGAATCCTTCACGCTATCCACTAGGCCATCCGATCGTTGTTGCTGAACATTCCTCCGATCGTTGAAGAAACCTACCAATCAACTACACAAACCATTCCATGAAGCCGTTCACGCTTGATCCCGGTGACTGGAGTGCTCTGGAACGGTTTTACGAATTTTTCAAAGTTGGCTCCACCCACCTCGGGGCACGCTCCGCCCACAACGGGAGTGCCTCGCACATTCCGACATGTGATCACTTGGGGACCATAATCCATTTTTTTGCGCCGTCTGTAGTGCTTTAGGACCAAACTACTAAACAGGTTCAAGTGCACTCCCCGCCCAATGTGGGCGGGCCTCAGCACGCCACAAACATGGTGGACTCTTGCCAGATGTTCATCTCGTCATGGACTTTTCTGCGATCTCTGATCTATTTCGGGAACCGAGTTACCGACCTTTGGGGAAGCACCGCCCATCTCAAGTACACCCGCCCATTTCGGGTATGTCTCCTCCATTTCCTCTGCCAACCCAATGCTAATCTTATTCCACTTTTTCCCATCTCTGAGGTGCTTTGTAGCCAAATATGGCTTTTTTTCAGTGACACGGGAAGCGCCGCCCATCTCAAGTACGCCCCGCCCTTCGGGTGTGTCTCCTCCATTTGCTCTGCCAACCCAATGCTAACCTTATCCCACTTTTTCCCGTCTCCGGGCTGCTTTGTAGCCAAGTTATAGCTTTTTTCAGTGACACGGGAAGCGCCGCCCATCTCAAGTACGCCCCGCCCATCTCGGGTGTGTCTCCTCTGTTTGGTCGGCAGCCCTTTGACTTCACTGCACTGTTCCTCATCTGGGACTGCTCTGGAACCGAGTTATGACTTTTTTCAGTGACATCGCTAACTTTCGACGCACGCCCCGCCCACTGTGGGCGGGGCTTACCATGGGTCATGGGTGCTATTTAGGTTTTGTCCCATGCTCTACCCATCCCCACCATGACCCGACCCCTCCAAGTTCTTCTTCAGGTGCTATGAATTTCGTGACAAACAGACAGACGCACACACACATACACACACGGACATAGCCGATTATATACCATTTTCACTTTGTCACCACTTTTCAAACCAAATTCACCACTTTTCAAAGCAAATTCACCACTTTTCAAACCAAATTCACCACTCTTCTTAGACCAGGCAGTTCACCAACCAATCACGCCAGACACCACCGCGAACCCTGCCCCGACGGTCACGCCTACTTGTCAGCGCGGACATAGATTTTCAACACATGACTGACTCCGCCCATTCTTTAAAGTTTGTTGCGAACTTCAAATCTTCATAACTTTTTCAATTTTTAATTTCACATCCACTCTTCGCACAACGAAGGTACTCGTAGACGCGCATTCATGCACCGGCAATTCAGGCCCGCCCCTTGGCCACGCCCACTTGCTTTTTGCGGAATTTTGATATTTTTTCAAAATTTTTGCATTTTTGGACTGCTCCACGAAGCCCCGCCCACTGAGAGAGGCTCCGCCCACTTTGAAGAAGCCCCGCCCACTTTTCAAAAATGGTGCAAATCGGCAGTATAGAGCCTTGGCTTGCATGCTAGGGCCTCGTCCGTCACTCGGAACAAACTTTGCCTGATTATTTGTTCCGAGTGACGGACGAGACCCTAGCATGCAAGCCAAGCTCTATACTGCCGATTTGCACCATTTTTGAAAAGTGGGCGGGGCTTCTTCAAAGTGGGCGGAGCCTCTCACAGTGGGCGGGGCTTCGTGGAGCAGTCCAAAAATGCAAAAATTTTGAAAAATATCAAAATTCCGCAAAAAGCAAGTGGGCGTGGCCAAGGGGGCGGGGCCTCGACGCCGGTGCATCGATGGTGCTACAACCTGCCACAAAGCCGCACTGATTGATAGAGAGCTGGACGATTTCGCGGATACGGCTGTCAACAATTCGCTCGAAGATCTTCATACTGTGTGACAGCAGGCGAATTGGACGGTAGCTGGAGCAGTCCGCAGGGCTGCCCTTCTTCTTCCAAATCGGAATCGTCGTGCTCTCTTGCCAGTCCTTGGGCGTCTTCTTCTCAGCAACGACCTGATTGAAGAAATCCGTCAACCATTGTGCAGGGTACCAGCACCGTGCCTTCCACAAGTCGGCTGCCACGTCGTCAGGTCCTGTTGCTTTGCCTGACTTCATCTTTCTGAGAGCCGCCTTCGTCTCTTCTACGGTTACTTTCTGAACGGGACCGTATACTGGGGGGACGAAAGGGATGGCCGGGTGCGCATACTCTACGGTTGAAATATTCTCAAAGAAGTCGTGCCATCGCCTCAGCACCCTCTTTCGGTCCATCAAAAGGCGGCCATGCTCGTCGTTAACGCCAGGAAATTTCTCGATATCTTCGGTCTGACGATGCCGAGCCTTGGCAAGTCGGTAGAGGTGCCGCTCACCATCACGTGAATCGAGCTCCTTACTGACATCTTCGAAGTGGGCGGCCTTCGCTGCAGCCACAGCCTTCTTCGCTACATTCTTCGCTTCTTTGTACTTACGCCAGCTACTAGCTGACTTGTCGGCAAGAAACGCGTGGTAGCGCCTCTTCTTCTCGCGAACCGTTTCTTTGACATTGTCGGTCCATAACCACGGCTGCTTATCAATTCTACGCCTTCCCGGCTTCGTGACGCCAAGTTCGGAACGAGCGGCCTCATGTATGGCTTTGGCAGCACTTTTCCAGGTCTCATCGACAGTCGTGACGGTGGGAAGTCGTATACGAGAGATCACAGCTGCCTCCTTTTCTTTCAAGCGCCACCATTTAATCCTCTCGGGACCACATCGCTCGACCCGTTTGGACCGGAGCTTTGCGATCTTTAGCGTGCAGATTAGTGGGCGATGTTGTGTGGCAACTGTCTCGTACGGCACCGTCTTCGCGTCCGTGATGAGCCCTTGGTCGCGGTGTCTAACAAGGACAAAGTCTATCTGCGTTCTGGCACTCCCACTGTAGAAGCTGATAAGGTGGGAGTCTCGTTTGCGAAACTTCGTATTCACGATGACCAGGTTATGGGCCTCTGCATAGTCGAGAATTCTTTCACCATCGGCGTTACGTGACCCATAACCGAAACCACCATGACAACTGTAGCCGTCTTTCGTAGCGCCTACGTGCCCAT